TGACTCTGCACCAAGTCAGTGTCAACAGTTGGTGGGTTGGTGACCCTCCGATGCCCATCTAAGAACCCATTAGGAGACCTATTTTGACTCCTGTTCAAGAACACTGAGACAAAAAACTCATTGAATAGCTCTGCCTTGCCCCCCCTTTCTGTCACTAATTGCTCCTTCTTGTTCAGTAGGGGTCCTATGCTGCGCTGCACCTTCCTTTTACTCTCTACATACCTAAAAAAAATATTTTTTGTTGTCTCTAATTTGTATTGCCAACCTCAGCTCTGTAGTTGCTTTGGCCTTTCTAACTACCTCTCTGCAAGTGCAGGCCAAGTAGGTATACTCCTCCCCCAGGAGGAATATCAGATAAAGCTTTATAAAGTTTGATGATGTGGTTTCCTGGTTGTTCATTAAAAGATTCTGTTAGTCTTCTCAGCTCACAGAAAGGTGGCACTCGGGACTGCTGCTCTGGTCGCCACTCCCCAGTTACACTACTGAGATACAAAAGTACCAAACTGAAGTTTCAATTTCATGTTATAAGTATCTTCAATTTTATGTTATAGGTACTAAAACCCCCCATAGAACTGAAACTATATTCTGGAATTTTGAAAACAATTAATATTTTTAAATATCATACCTGAATCATGATTGCAGTAGTATCTGGGTTGCAAAGAAATGTTTTAGACATTGTTACAAAATAAAAATGGAAAAAATACTCTAATAGGGCATGTCCAGATGAGCATGAGCCCATCTGTTGTGCCTCAAACAGCAAGTGCCACATATGCAGACATTTGCACGCTGCTACTTTATGGCACAACAGGATTTTTGTTGTAAACCGGTAAACCCCTGGTGGTGTGTGTGTGGCAGCAGCATGCACCACCCAAAACTGAAGCCTGGCCAGCCAGAGCCATACTCAGGCTTCCAGCCAGGCTGCATGCACTGGATCACCACTGCCCGAGCCTTGGGAGACCCCCAAGACCCCATGCAAGGCTGCTGAGGCCAGTCCAGGTGTTGGCCCCAGAGCTATACCCTACGCAGAGCAACTTGGCAGATGCCAAAGTGCACATACATAGATGTTCCCCACAGACAAACAGCAGTGACACGACAATGTGCCACTGCTATTTGTCCCTGCGGAAACACGTGTGCCCTTGTGTGGAAAAGACTTACCTCCGTCAGATGAAGAGAGGAGACCACAGGATGCTGTGCCAGAAGCGGCACACAGTTAAAATGTAACCACAGCACTCCTACCTGCTGCGGCAAAGAAGAAAAAAAAGGAGGAAAAAAAACTGAAAGTCAGACGGAGTCGGGATTGGCTTCTACATCAGCATGAGCATGCTTTGTAACAGCGTGTCAAGGCCAATTCACGGCCCAGAACACTGCTGCCAGGATAAAAAGCCCAGCAGGGAAGCAGCAAGAAGGACCGGAAGTGGGGTCCCTGACAGGCCTGGAGGGGCCACATATTGGAAGTAGTCCCAGCCCAGGGAGGTAGTGGCTACCCCAGGAAGGGGTTTTGCTGGAGAGACAGAGCCAGGGATGGTTCTATAATTTATTGGAAGGGACTCCATGGGACACAGGGACCCACAGCTCAGACTGGACCTCAACAGAATCAGACAGAGCAGGTACCAGCAGACAATCAAGTCGTGGCAAGCATAAGATATCAGCAGAGAGTGAGACATCGTGGAACCTGACAGCCGGTGACCAGCAAGATGCTTAAGTAAGCCAAGGTGCGGCCAGGATCAAACGGGCCAAGTAAGGTACCGATTCAGCCACGGTAAATCTCAAGGTATAAGATACAAAAGAGTGCATCATGATCATCCTGGAGACACAAGCAACAACATCTTTGGTTGGTGTTAGGTGGGGTATAGGGGAGGCACAGCCCCGAGCAGGCAGAGCAAACAGAATGACCAGAGGAAGGTGCCAGGTGGGACAGGATAAAACATCTTCCTCTCCATAAAAACTGAATTTCCAAAGACATGGCAGGTGAGACCCCACCTGAAACACTGCCCGAGATCCCATCCGTTAATAAGCTTGTTCTTCTTTTAAAGCAATGGTGAAACCAGAAAGATCCACACAAAACCAACACACTGGTGAAAGGCATGGAAAACTGCACCTTTTCTGGACACACCCACACTGGTTTTAAGTATGTAAAAATTTGAGGATCAAGCAATGGTTGATTAACTAAATGTCGACAAACATGAAAAAATATCTAGCATATAACTTTTAATCAAAAAACAGGACAAGGAAATTGTTTCAAACACATATTTTGTAAAATAAGGTCTTACTCTCCTCTTGGATAGCTCTGTGTCATTACTGGCATCTGTTTTGCCCCCTGAAAAATAATGCAAACAAACAAAAAAAATACTGAACATTATTTTTGGCAAATAAATTGATATTATCTATATCTTTAAGTATAAATATAATAAACCTGTGTGTGTGTGTGTGTGTGTGTGTGTGTGTGTGTGTGTGTGTGTGTAGTGAACCACTATTATGTCTAACAAGCTAACTTCTTAGATATATCCATATTAGCAGCAGGACTAATTTAAAACTACTCAAGTATCTCTGACAATGCACCATACCATACAGA